TTTTTGTTCGTGACACAGATACAGCAGTGGAGACACTGGGAAGAATCCATTCAGAAAAGAGAATATGACCCTGAAGAAGGTGAAATTTTTAGTGCCACTTTAAGCCACATTTTGGGTTTTACATTTCAAGACTGATTCTTGTCTGAAAATTTTTGGGCAGCTATGAGAAATAAAATTACTCATGTTGGAGACAATGCTTTCATCAGAAAGCGGTTATCAGGCGCCAGCAAAATTGGTTTTTTCAGATGGTTGGTAAGTCGATGTGTTCTTGGTCATGCTCGATAGCCGAATGGAATGGAAAATTCCATTTACTAATTTTAGCTAATAAACAATCAAGATTATAGCCCCAGTTGCCAAATTTTTATTAACACCATTATCTGTTGTCGTTTTCAGAAATCGTTCTTCAAGCAGTTTTATGGATCAGTGAGTAAATTAGATTACACTACCTTGCGGCTCGGCTTTGTTATGGTAAGGCATTTTTTTATTTTTTTTTTAATTATCATGCTCTATAAGATGCGAATCATACATCATTTAGATTCTAGTTTTTCGATGTAAACTAATTTTTCGGACTTTTACATTCAGAACCATTGTAAGGCGAATCCGAAGTTCGACTTCTATAAGTACATGATCCGAGCTTTCGAAAATGATTTCAAGAAAGTGGTCGGGATAAGGTTAGCTGTGAAGGAACTCAGAAACCTTAAAATCACAGATGTTGCTCCAATAATTGGGAACAATATTTAGTTGCTCTCTCTCTCTCTCTCTCTCTCTCTCTCTCTCTCTCTCCTGTTACTACATATCATACTAATGTTTTAATACCAACTGCAGTTGGTACCTTTGGGTGTTTGTGGTTCTATTCTTGTTGGTGAATGTCTATGGTGAGATATTCTATTTTCATTTCTGTTACTAATACTTATGTCTAATTACTGAAAGACTTACTTATCTTTTCAAAACACAAATAACGGTTAAGGTCATTGTCTCTTTCACGTAAATGTGCGCCCTTCTCGAAAACCTTATGATATCGCTCTAAACTAAATTTCGAGGATTTTTTTTTCACCATTTCAGGTTGGCATGCATATTTTTGGATCTCATTTGTTCCCCTGACTGTAAGTAGCACTACTTTCCCACATGGTCTTAATAGCACAACACATAAAGTTAGACTGCACAAAGTTTTTCACTTTTTTCACCTTAAATAAAAAAAAAAAAAAAAAAAAAACATTTCTGCAGCTTTTGCTTGCTGTGGGCACGAAGCTTGAACACATAATAACCCAATTAGGGAAAGAAGTTGCCCAAAGACACACGGCAGTCACTGGTGATTTGGTCGTGAAGCCTTCAGATGACCACTTCTGGTTCAACAGGCCTCGTCTTGTACTTGTGCTAATTCATGTGATTTTGTTTCAGAATGCGTTTGAGATTGCTATTTTCTTCTGGATGTTGGTAATTCATTTACCCAACATTTTTCGGTTAACTAGCAAGCTACAGCTAGCTAACTACGTACCGGTTGTTTTCTGACTAACCGAAACTGTGTATAATAGGTGATGTTTGGTTTCGACTCGTGCATTATGGGGGAAATTGGTTTTATCGTACCTAGACTCGTCATAGGGTAAGATTTTACGATGTTTTTTCTTTCTTTTCTTTTGTTCGAAAGTTTTAGAAATGCAAAAAGAAAAATGAATTTTAATAGAGGAGTTTATAATTTTCTACAGGGTGTTCGTGCAGTTCCTCTGCAGTTACAGCACTTTACCGCTCTACGCCATCGTAGCTCAGGTTAACTACCGTCTTTTACTCTGTTTAAATAAATTTCGTGTAATGTGAACAGTTTGAAATTCTTATATCTTCTTGTATCAAACATTGAATGTAGATGGGAAGTTCGTTCAACAGTGCAATATTCGAGGATCATATACAAGAGAGTTTAGCAGGTTGGGTGCAGAAGGCAAAGCGTAACAAGGGACCAAAGAGGGCTGTTGGTGCCGTTTATAACCATCACGACTCGCCTTCTCCACAAAGGGTTGAGATGAAAGAGATTCAAGTGAAGGTTGATCCCAAGGAACAAAAGGGCAAAGTACCAGAAATCGAGCCCTCTGTTTAACTCAACTGAGCCTAATGTGTCTTTTTGCAAAGTTTTTGAAGAAATGAATGGGGTTGTGAGGCAGAAAAGTGTGTCACTTTACCTTTTTTCTCATGTGTCAAACAATTTCTGTGAAATGTAAATGCACAACTCTCAAATAATCTCTACAGGGATTATACAGATTGTTTATTACTGCTTTGTGCATATTTGATCATTTTTTTCATGTGCATGCTAAAACACGAATATACCTTGTACTCATGCAACCAAAAAACGCAGTCACGATTATCGTTTATTAACCAGAGTATATCAAGCTAATCAAAATGTTCGACATCGACTCAAGAACAATGGTAAAATCAGTCAAAACATTGATGACAGTACAAGTACACACGAGGCCAAACTTCCNAAAAAAAAAATAAAAAATAAAAATAAAAAAATAAAAAAATAAAAAAAATACATGGCATGTGTATCACAAAAGAGACTGCTGTATAATAAGTAGTACACTACTAGTTGCTTTCAAATCATAATTTCACTGTGGGACACAAATTTGACAACCATTGCACGAAAAGTTTTCATTTTGTTACTTGTCGAGACATGCTCTACCAGCTGCTCAATTGCTTTTGGATCTTCGAATTATGAGACGATCTCCCACCTTTGTCCTTGTAGGTATTTCTCGAGGTTATAATCTTCCTTCTCCCACGGGCCGCCTGGATGGCTCGTTGACGTTGTTTGGTTAGACGCTTCTCAAGTTCAGGGTCATCATCTTCTTCTGAATCTTCTTCATCCTCAGCATTATTGTCCTCACGCTCAACCAGTCCATTTTCGAGGCCCTCAAGAACAGTTTGGCTATGTTCATCTGAGGTATTATTTTCTTGTATATGATTTCCTTGAGATGCTTCGGGTAGATCACTTTCCTGAAAGCATAAAGAATGTTCTTTCAAGATACCAGAATACGATTCCAGAATATAATTAAAAATTGATATAGTTGAAGAGAAGAATAGATTGAGAGATTTTCACTGCCACCATGAATCTGTTTTACAGGATTCGGTTCAAACCAACCAACAGCTAGTAGAAATCAATACGAAAGGATGTTTATGATCCGTCAAATTTGAACATGTTTTCACATTTTCGTTGAAAGTGCAAAAGGCTTCGAGTCTCAATCTAAAAGGATGTGAAACTTTACCTCTGCAACCAGGCTCAAGGACTCAATATTCTTCACACTGGCACCGTTCACTGGGCAAGCAATATCTTCATCTTCAGATTCTTCACCATCAGATCCCTGATCTTTACCTAAATCCCCATCAATAAACTGTGGAAAAAGATCGAAAAAAGAAGTCATTTAAGCAGCTAAAACTTAAATATTAAATACCAGTTGCCATCAAACAAGTCCATAATGCAACTCAAACTATTAGTATCACCAACATTTCAATGTGGCACAGATCAAATTGATATCTTGGTAGTTTATGGAGATAGCTCTGGATTTGTATAGATCAAATTAGTACTATTAGAAAAATGGTAACATTGAAATTGGTGCCGATCCAAAGAGAGGTGATCCATTAAACTTTGGCTCATGAACGACTCTTTACCCAAAAGCAGTGTGGTTTGAAAATTTTAAAATTTTAACCCTGAGAGAATAAAATGCAATTTCTAGCAACTTCATTGTAAAAGCAGCTTATTAACTGTTAAGTGGAAGTTGAATGAGAAAGATTAAAGTTGCACCTGTTCTATGTCATCTTGATCTTTCCTCGTGAAACCACTGGCTTCAAGTTCCTTGTCCAGACAACCAGTAATTTTCTTTATTTCAGAAAACTGAGGTCGGCAACTTTCTTCTGAATCTACATCTGAGTCATCAGACTCAGCTTCATTTTCGTCAAACGAGAGGTTGAACCTAATAAGGATTGAAAGAGCCAAGTAAGCTTTTAATATAAAAATGTGCAAATTCTTTCTTCTCTTTCCTTCTTCTTTCACCCGAAGTTTTCTCAGGCAAAGGCCAAGAACTACATTCTGTTACCTGGTCAAAAAAGAATCTTTAAACTTTTTTTTTTTTTTGGTAAATCACTCAGGATTTAAAATCTGTCAGCCTATCACACAATGAAACTAGTCACAGAAAGGCTATTACTTGGTTTGTTTTTATACAAGAACAGCATTTGTATCCATCACATATGCAATAAGAAGAGAATTTCAACTTATTAGCACAAGCAACCGATGTTTTTTAAACTAAAACATTCATACATATAACACGAGTATTAAGCACAAACGTCTGTTGCATCAAACAGAAACTTAGAGAAATAAATTAAATCAATATAAATCACAAATATGCTAAATTTATTTTCCATTAGTTAGTTAGCTAATGAAAACAATTCACTCACCTCTTTCTAAAGAACTTAAATATGCATTCAATATCACGGTCGAAGTACCTGGAAAAACAGAAATTAGTAGGAAATATGAAGAAAATGCCTTCTAATGTTAACCAGACTCATGGAAAGAAAGGGAACAGGTAAACACATCATACATCTTCGCATTTCGATGAGAAACTGAAACCATTTGCGGAAAATCAATCATGGTGATCTTCTCATCATCATCAATCTGCCAAAAGAAAATGACTTGAACAAAATCGCATTACAAAATTCACAAGGGTAAATAGATACCCTGACATTTCAGAAGCAGCAGAAATAAGTTCTTAGCCAGGAAAATAAGCATATATTATGCACGCAGGAAAAATTCCTGGGTACTGCCAGCCACTGGGGTATTGGAAGTCAAGTTTATGGTGGGTTAGAAAATAATAATGACATCATTTTAAATGCCACAGTAGCATACCATAATGTTGAATTCGTTAAAATCACAATGAATGAGCCCATGCTCCGCAAGGCGAACGACAATACCAAGTATTGTTTCAAAGACTGTATCTGGATTTGACAATTGCTTCACCTGTACACTGAATGGGACAGGATAATCTCGTGTTATAATCCAAGTATCCTCAACGAATGAGAGAAAAGATTGAGTTACAGAAGATATACAGGTGTCCTGATTTCAACTCAATGAATGAGAGAAAAGATTGAGCTATTAAAGAAAAACAGGTGTCAAGATTTTTCATCTCTTGAAAAGTGTGCAGCTCAGTAGAGAGTAACTTTACCAAACAGAAAGGATAGCTAGAGAACAGCCACATGGATATTGAGCAAAAGGAAGAATATACAATATTTTATTTAGTGATCCATCAAATGCATACCAATTCTCATATTATGACCACTGAGATTATGGTAATATACTAATATGTAGTTATGTACACAGCTCCTATGTTGGAAATTCAAGTCTGACAATAAAATTGCCGTAATTAACTCCCACCGATGCAGTTTGATAGAATTTTCACTGAGAATAAACTTTTTCCCGTTATATTTAGTTTCAGGGGTATTTCAGGAATGGCAATAACATCGATAATCCCGGACTTGCAATTTAATAGTATATAACTGGGCATCTGGTAAACCACAAGACACATTATTCAATCTCCCTCTCATGGAAAAACGAATTTCACTTTGTCTGTACCTTTCCAACCCTATGGAAACTTGAAACAAGAATCCAAGACACACAAAGTTTCCCATTTTCAAATTCAACAGACCACAATAATATCGAACTAGCAGCTGAATAGCCGATGGATCAGTGAAAATGGAAAGCATTTATATTTTATCTGTCTGCATAGCACAAGAAAAGATAACATGGAGGTAGTCAACTATAACCTAGAACTAGGCCTTTACTTTGCATTTTCACAGACCAAGGAATAATGTAAACAAGTTGCACACATCATATATTCATACAGCATTGCAAATGTCAGTACATGATTAAGTAATAACAGAACAAGGATATTGTAGGCATACTAAGAATGTATATATAGCTCCAAACTTACAGTGGATACCCTTGGATGAGTGACATTACAACACAATGACGATTGCAATCCACAGCATGTGGAACAGGAAAACCATGCTCATCCAAAGCCTGTCCACCAAGAACACAACAGCAGTAAAATTATTTGACAGAAGAAACAGCACCATTCGTTCTCAATAATAGATAAAGTAGCAATTGGAATATATAGTAGCCAAACCTTCATAAAAGCGAACTCTTTGAGAGCAGCAAGCCGTGACAAGTACAGCCAATTAAAGCTACTACGATGCCTCAAATAATCACGTTTCGACTTGACTGCCCTGAAAGATGTCCGACCAAGTCTGTGTAACTTCATGGCAAGAACTGTACCATCTTCTGTAGCAACTTCAAATATATCTTCAAAACACAGAAACATAAATCAGGAAAATTTTGTGGATAACGAAAACAATGTGCAACAGAAAATTAAAGTCAGTAAGGCACTCATACCAGACTCCTTCCCGACACCAATTTGACGACCAACAGCAGTAAACACTCCTCTGTTCACCAATGTCTTAATTGCAAGAAAATCATAGCCCAAGTATGTAAGCCTGAACCCATCATCTGTACCAAGAATACAATACAAAAGTTTTATTTACAGCTGTAAGTAATCAAGAAAATAGAATTTAGATATCTTTACAAGGTGAAGAACATAGAGAAGAAACTTTTAATGAGTTTAAATGATATGATACTAATCAAGCTGAAAAGGCTTAATCTTGCTTGTAAAAAGCAAAAAACTCTGCTCTCTTTTTTCCCTCTATTTTTCTTGAAGCGTAGAACTAACATTTGGCTGAGTCATGATGTAACAGTTTGTGCTTAAGCAAATTCTTCAGAACTTTATAAGTGCCGCCATGCCTGTAACCCAGCAAATACAAAGACCAAGCGAAAACCTTAATTAGAATAACTGATGATTTAATCAGTAAAACAGCCAAAAAAGTGTACCAAAACCAAAAGAGAAAACTCACTTGAGAGACGCAATTCGATCTATCAACTCGGACGGCACAATCTCATGCTGAAAGCATCAATAGAGGAAATTAATTAGATATAATCCGAAAAAAAGGTGTCGACTACTAATTAAACCGAAAGAATTGGCAAGCATAAA